TGATATTATCGTAGACAGCGCAGTGCTGCAAAATTTGAAACGGGGTCCAAAAAGGGTACCGGAACTGGGGTTCGAACCGCACAATGCACTGCTGCAGGCGGGGTCAAACGGCCTGGATTTTGATGGATCTCCCAAATCAATGCTTTTGGGGCAAAACCTGGCCGAAATCCTATTCTTCTTATGGCTTGCTTTTTGGACAAATAGACTTCAGAAACATAATTAGAAGAGGATTCCATAGGGGATTGCAAAAAAGTATTCTAAACGGTTTGACCCATTTATGGCGAAAGGCTAGAAGTCCATCTTTTTATGAATGGACTGTAGTTGTACTCTACTACTGTATTATCTCTAATATAAGCACGGTCCTTTATTTTTTCAATGTACCTCCGCCCAGTGCTATTATTGGAGACGTTCCTTTATTGGAGACTGTTCCATTATTATTTCTACCTCATTCCAGAGGCTTGTTGCCATGCCAAATTCATGTCAGACACACACATTTCAGGGTTTTTTTCGTGTGTACAGATAATGAATTACACAGTGTGCTTATATAATGGAGACTGAGCACTTTATTTTTTGAATGCCGCCCCAAGGTGTTCTATTAATGGAGACGTGCTATTATTGGAGACTGTGCTTATATTAGAGATAATACGGTAAATAGAATGCATGATCTTGTATAATGTTGTAACATGCACCAGCATAACATCACACATAACATGTATGTAAAGATTTCTTCAATGTACAGTATTGCACGTGCTATCTTCATTTACAAGGTGTATACGAGTGTGCAACAGGTATACTTATGCTATGATACTTATGCGGCAGCATACAGGTCACGATACAAATGCACTATTGTGCTCACTATTTCATATTTCCCGCTTCTTTGTCGGTAAAGATTATTCAGATTTTTGCATCAACTATAGAACAGTGCATGCTCCAGTGGTTCCTGTCTTCCAATACTTCTTCTCATAGTACCATAATTATTTCCCCGAATATAAGTCGCACCTTTGTACACTAAAATTCAAGAAAGACTTACAATCGAGCATGACTTACTACTGAAGTCAATGTATCAAATCAATATGGCTCAAACCTGAAAATGGGGGTGCGACTTATAATTGAGTGCGACCTATAATCGGGGAAATACGGTAATACTCATACGACTACAAGATAGTCTTCTGACAGTGCTTAGGGAAAGTATTAGGTTGCCAGAGCAGCTAACAAGTGTAGTGGTGCAATTCCACGTGTATGAAGTACAGTAAAATCTGTAATGGCGACCACTCGACCATGGCAACCACTTTTCCTTGTCACGGACGCATTCACATTCAAAGCAGCTCGGATAAGGCGACCACTTGCTCAACGCGACCGACGACCACCCACCCGCGACCGCGTTGCACAGTGCTAGTACATGTAAATATATGCATTGCATGGTGTACCATGCAAGTGTTAGAACTGACTTGCAATATGGCAATCTTTCACTCACATGGATCCTTGACATCTTCTTCAGGATGATCATTCTTACGAGCTTGCCAAATTCTCTCCAGCACTCCACCAACAACACCATTGGATGGGAAAGATGAAGACTGGATGGCTTGAATGAAGTTCTGGACACCTGATGGTCCTCTCTTGTAGGCAGTCAAGAAGCCAACACAGCAGACTAACCTGTTCTCTTCTAAACTACTATTAGCGATGGTGTATTTGGCCTTGCAAGCCAACACATGTCTCTTCATCATGGGATCTCTGCTGATGCGTGGATGATGTTCATCACCTGCCATGACAGCATTCTTCAATGATTCATGCGCAATCTGGCATTGAGCTATGTCATGCCATGCTGGCAGTACAACATCATCCCAGAAGTCAAACGACATCGTTCTAAACACAAAGTTATACAAAACGCACAAAGAAAAGCACAAACACCCAGAATATGTATATTCTGATCATAGAATAATGGATTCAAAGAGAATTCAAGTATGGATGACAATACAACAGAAGACTGGCTGCACAGTGTAACACAATACAGGTATATGACTGTATTCACCTCCCATATGTTACCCAAGGGTGCAGATGCAGATTTTAAAGTGATGGGAGGTGAGTTGATCACTGATCAGACCCACAACCAAAGAGGTCAAAATCAGAAAATCCCATTCACTGCATTCATGGTGAACTCCATTGTATGTAAACGCTGTGTGACTCGGAATGACAAGAGGCAGGGGTGTTGGAAGATATTTTAGGATGGTACTGTCAGCCACCTGAAGTACAATTTACTTGTGGGGTTGGGGTGGTTCCTATGAAAATTTCGAAATTTAGACCTCAGATCAGTGTGTTTTATTGATTCACAGGGTACCCGGGATGAAGAGTGGTACGGTCAATACCATAGTGACCGTAGCATGTCCGACGCCCTGCAAGAGGTTCATGTATAAGGTTTCGTGAAATATTACAATAGAGACGAATATACAAGTACTTGAGTACAGGGGAAGTATGCATCAGTTTTAGGACAGTGTTGAGGGTCAGGAATGTTCTGGTCATGTGAAGTCGAATACTCTTCTCAAGCATGACGTGAACAGAACTGCGATGACCCATGTGAAGCGCAATCAATATAATTATTATTCTTTTGCCTTTGTCATTTCCCTATGATCTCTGCACTACTGTTCTAGTACGTTCCATAGAGTGAATTTGACTTACAATGCAACTACATGGAGGTATCGTTAACACGGGTTTTCTTCACGTCTTGAAAATCTAAATCAATTCTCCACATAGGATAACTCCAACCCATCTTTCCAGCCTGGCAATAACTGACTGTACTGCTTGAAGGTTTCAAGGTCTACCCCTCTTAGTCATGTGACATGTTTACAGAGTGTATACATGTACTGTACCTTACCGTAAATACTGGATAGCTGCAGATACAGTGCAGCTTCGGTTTTCCAGCACAAGTCGCACTAGTGGCTTATCATCAACACATCACTCTGACTCGACAGAAAACAACGCAACGATGTTACGTTGTTGTTCAGACCTCGATAGTCACCGACGGACACACGAACAGACAATGATTTCTCGAGTCGATGATACTGAACAGGTCTACTTTCTCTGGTTCTGGGACAAGGATATGCTGCCCAGGAGACTACAGTGTACAAAACTGCTATCAAACACAATGGTCCTGTACCTCTTCTTCGCAGATGAACGGCAGAACGGTAACAACTGAGTCTTCACCAAACACACATACATACACAAAGACACAGTGCAGCTAGCTATGAATCATGTTCATGATGGCTTGGGTCGATGCGAAGGTTGTTACGGACAGCCGGTTTGGCGCCGTCATTCTGGCCTTTTTGGGGCACCATGGTCACATGACTCATGAGATTCGCAGAGGGCTATACTACTACAGTCAAATCTGTCGTAAGCGACCGCCCCTTGGTGCAAGAAAAAGCGGTCGCTTACGGCAGATGGTCTCTTACGGCAGATGTATGGTAAATCCGGCATACCAGGTATATGCTTCCATGTACTCAAATCGACGAGAATAATGTGATTTTTAATAATATTAAAAATCACATTATTTTATTGGATATTCAACGACGACCATACCCGTATAGTACGCGTATGCGACACGGCAGTAGATCGACACTGCCTGGACTTGAGACTGAGACAGTTTAAGTGAGAGCTACAGCACAGCCTCAGTACACATGGTACAGGCCAGGCGCCAGTCGATCGCACTTGCAAGACAGCGCATTTTCACACTTTGCAGTTGACAGCGCACTGGCAAGTACAGTTTCGCACCTTACTGAACCTGGGTCGCGGTCGCTTACAGCAGATTCGAATGCAGCCACCGTGCATGAAATCGCGGTCGCTGGTCGCGCACAGCAGATGGTCGCTCTGGACAGATCAGTTTGTATGTGAAACCGTCGGTGCACGGAAAATCGGTCGCTAACGGTAGATGGTCGCCTACAGCAGAGGTCGCTAACGGCAGATTTGACTGTACTACTAGTACTAGTAGTAGTAGTAGTAGTAGTACTAAGACTCAGACTCTAGTCTAGCTAGCTAGCGAGCTACAGCTACTAGTAACCATGGTTACTAGGGGGGATAAGACAACCGTTACTGTGGTGAATCATGATTGACAGATTGTGTTGTAAAAATGACACGACAGACGGAACCATGATCGTAGATCTACCACGTCACGAATACTTGCTTGTTATATGCAGCATCGGCTGCACCATTGGCATTGTGCACCTATACTGGCCATAGCGACTTTTCTATTTCCCCCTAAAACTCCAACGCAACTACTGTACTGCACACTACTGAGAGAGACACATGATTCACTTTCCAACCCTCTCTTTACTGCGAAACAAAGAACAAAAAAAACATTCGACCAAATTTTCGCATCATCAGGCAGAACTCTGAAACAAACAAAAACTTGGAATCCACAGTCTCTACACGTACAAACATACTTGGAGACAGGCGATTTGCTGTAGGTCTACATACTCTCAAATTACTTAGAAAACCAAATGAGGTACAGTCAACTTGGCATATAACGACACTGGGCAGGGCATCAGAAAAGTGTCCTTATTCGCGAAGTGTCGTTATACCCGTAGTCTCATTATATGTATTACACTTGGATGGAACTTTGCTCTGGGCATGGACATTCTGTCGTTATTCGCGAATTGTCGTTATATCCTTAGAAGTTGCGACTTCGGCGGTAATAGTCATGATGACAACTTCATGTCGTTATATCCGCAGTCGTTATTAGCGAAGTTGACTGTACACTGTCTGTACTAACTCCACTCCACTCCCGGCATTGCCCAAGTAACAAGTTCAACATATTGAGCAAGTACAGTCAGCCATCTTCCCGTTGCACTAATGAGTTATTCCCGGTCTGACATTGTGATAGTTCAGTTTCATGATAACCATGTGATGCCGTCAAGCATAGCCCATCAAACAATACTGTACAACTCTTACAAGCCCGTATATATGTATACATATACGTCAGTACAACCTACTTCAACTACTTGCAATCCGAGTACAATCACGGTAACTCTCCATAATCTCAGGCAATGCAACTTTCAGACGTGAATGTGCCGCTGATTACGTTTTTCGGCTACAAGCGCAGAAAGAACATAGGCTAATTTCAAGAGAGAAAAAAACTATCTGCTAAAAGGAAAGGTGAATCAAGGATATCCGATAGTATTGAAATCATGAAACATACAGTAGGCTTGCAATGTTGAACCATGTGCAGAGAAACAGCATAAAAAGGTTTTAAAATCAATAAACTCATAGAATCATAATTATTATCAAGGCGCCAACAGTTAGGCTCTTCAGCGCAGCTGAGCAGCTTAAAGTGTATCTTAAAAGGGATCACATTTCCGTGCAACAAAGCATAGGATAATGATATTAAATAATTTGATTTTTTTCATGGGTCGCGTGAGACTCGGTTTCTCTATATAGAGGCCGAGTTTTCAGCATCCGTAGGAACATTACTTGCATTGTCCATCATTTCACTACGAGATTATTCTAGCAATAACACAGCATAAAGTAAAATCTAATTCAATTTTAGCCAAGAGCTCAAGATGCCATAAAAGAAACTCAACTGGAAAGAGGTCTTGGAATACCTGAACACACTTGATCAGAAACATTACGACCGTTCAGTAGAGTCTGCACACACCATTCACTGATACAGCTCATTGTGGGTACATAGCAGCTCATGGTGGGTCCACCAGCAGAGTAACCTTCACAGACCCTGCAGGGACAAAAGCACACACAAAGATACATTCATACCTGCACAGAGTCCGGAAGCAACACACGTTCCTAGCCTCATGTTGCCGGCTTCAAACAACATTCTATGCATTACATTGTACATCATGAACATTGTTCTACTCTGTGAACCTTTCAAGGTTTACAAACGTATACAGTCATTGACTCAACTTCGCTAATAACGATTGCGGATATAACGACAATTCGCGAACAACGACAGAATGTCCATGCCCAGAGCAAAGTCCATTCTACCTGTATACATGTAATGAGACTTCGGGTATAACGACACTTCGCGAATAAGGACACTTTCTGATGCCCGGCCGAGTGTCGTTATACGCAAAGTTGACTGTACTGCACCCTCACGACGTTGAGTGAGCATAGAGGAAGATTATAAAATAGACCAGTTAGAATGGCTTCAACATGTCCACAAATCATTGAGAACATACTTGTACAATCATGTACGAAAAGCTCGGTCTTGCTCTATGCACCACCCCCCCCCCTCTCACGATTACGAATATACAAGTTTGAGGAATCAAGAAGAGACTTGAAATATGCCAACAGTGACAATAGAAGAAGGAGAAGCGAAAAATGTTAACACAATGGAGAAATATTAAGAGGCCAATCTCATAAACTAATGTTGTAACTGCCCTTTCTTCACCTGCTCCCAGCCCCGTGCCATCTCCACACTTATACAATGGACGACGATAACTACATTTAGAAAGACTGTTTATTACAAGACGACTACGGAAACACAACTAGACATGACAAACTCAAGACGAAGACTGCTTTTCACACCACAGCCACACGCACATGCACCAACACCACGTGCACACGATGACCACACGACGTACACAAAATAACATACTGCAACAAAACCGTACTACAACGCTAAGATAATAATAAACAGGGTTCTAGCCAGGTCAAAATAGTAGTAGGGCACAGGGGTGTAGCTTGTACATCTGTGGTGTGATGACCCTGTATCAGAGCACGTCTGTGGTGTGATGACCCTGTATCAGGGCATGTCTGTGGTGTGATGACCCTGTATCAGAGCACGTCTGTGGTGTGATGACCCTGTATCAGAGCACGTCTGTGGTGTGATGACCCTGTATCAGAGCACGTCTGTGGTGTGATGACCTTGTATCAGAGCACGTCTGTGGTGTGATGACCATGTATCAGAGCATGTCTGTGGTGTGATGACCCTGTATCAGAGCACGTCTGTGGTGTGATGACCCTGTATCAGAGCACGTCTGTGGTGTGATGACCTTGTATCAGAGCACGTCTGTGGTGTGATGACCATGTATCAGAGCATGTCTGTGGTGTGATGACCCTGTATCAGAGCATGTCTGTGGTGTGATGACCCTGTATCAAAGCACGTCTGTGGTGTGATGACCCTGTATCAGAGCATGTCTGTGGTGTGATGACTCTGTATCAGAGCATGTCTGTGGTGTGATGACCCTGTATCAGAGCATGTCTGTGGTGTGATGACCCTGTATCAGAGCATGTCTGTGGTGTGATGACCCTGTATCAGAGCATGTCTGTGGTGTGATGACCCTGTATCAGAGCATGTCTGTGGTGTGATGACCCTGTATCAGAGCATGTCTGTGGTGTGATGACCCTGTATCAGAGCACGTCTGTGGTGTGGTGACCGTGTATCAGAGCACGTCTGTGGTGTGGTGACCCTGTATCAGAGCATGTCTGTGGTGTGATGACCCTGTATCAGAGCACGTCTGTGGTGTGGTGACCGTGTATCAGAGCACGTCTGTGGTGTGATGACCCTGTATCAGAGCATGTCTGTGGTGTGATGACCCTGTATCAGAGCACGTCTGTGGTGTGGTGACCCTGTATCAGAGCACGTCTGTGGTGTGGTGACCCTGTATCAGAGCACGTCTGTGGTGTGGTGACCCTGTATCAGAGCACGTCTGTGGTGTGATGACCATGTATCAGAGCATGTCTGTGGTGTGATGACCCTGTATCAGAGCACGTCTGTGGTGTGGTGACCGTGTATCAGAGCACGTCTGTGGTGTGATGACCCTGTATCAGAGCATGTCTGTGGTGTGATGACCCTGTATCAGAGCACGTCTGTGGTGTGGTGACCCTGTATCAGAGCACGTCTGTGGTGTGGTGACCCTGTATCAGAGCACGTCTGTGGTGTGGTGACCCTGTATCAGAGCACGTCTGTGGTGTGGTGACCCTGTATCAGAGCACGTCTGTGGTGTGGTGACCCTGTATCAGAGCACGTCTGTGGTGTGGTGACCCTGTATCAGAGCACGTCTGTGGTGTGGTGACCCTGTATCAGAGCACGTCTGTGGTGTGGTGACCCTGTATCAGAGCACGTCTGTGGTGTGGTGACCCTGTATCAGAGCACGTCTGTGGTGTGGTGACCCTGTATCAGAGCACGTCTGTGGTGTGATGACCCTGTATCAGAGCATGTCTGTGGTGTGATGACCCTGTATCAGAGCATGTCTGTGGTGTGGTGACCGTGTATCAGAGCATGTCTGTGGTGCGGTGACCCTGTATCAGAGCATGTCTGTGGTGTGATGACCCTGTATCAGAGCATGTCTGTGGTGTGATGACCGTGTATCAGAGCATGTCTGTGGTGTGATGACCCTGTATCAGAGCATGTCTGTGGTGTGATGACCCTGTATCAGAGCATGTCTGTGGTGTGATGACCCTGTATCAGAGCATGTCTGTGGTGTAGTGACCCTGTATCAGAGCATGTCTGTGGTGTGGTGACCCTGTATCAGAGCATGTCTGTGGTGTGGTGACCCTGTATCAGAGCATGTCTGTGGTGTGATGACCCTGTATCAGAGCACGTCTGTGGTGTGGTGACCCTGTATCAGAGCACGTCTGTGGTGTGGTGACCCTGTATCAGAGCACGTCTGTGGTGTGGTGACCCTGTATCAGAGCACGTCTGTGGTGTGGTGACCCTGTATCAGAGCACGTCTGTGGTGTGGTGACCCTGTATCAGAGCACGTCTGTGGTGTGGTGACCCTGTATCAGAGCACGTCTGTGGTGTGATGACCCTGTATCAGAGCATGTCTGTGGTGTGATAACCCTGTATCAGAGCATGTCTGTGGTGTGGTGACCGTGTATCAGAGCATGTCTGTGGTGTGATGACCGTGTATCAGAGCATGTCTGTGGTGTGATGACCCTGTATCAGAGCATGTCTGTGGTGTGATGACCCTGTATCAGAGCATGTCTGTGGTGTGATGACCCTGTATCAGAGCATGTCTGTGGTGTAGTGACCCTGTATCAGAGCATGTCTGTGGTGTGGTGACCCTGTATCAGAGCATGTCTGTGGTGTGGTGACCGTGTATCAGAGCATGTCTGTGGTGTGATGACCCTGTATCAGAGCATGTCTGTGGTGCGGTGACCCTGTATCAGAGCATGTCTGTGGTGTGGTGACCCTGTATCAGAGCATGTCTGTGGTGTGGTGACCCTGTATCAGAGCATGTCTGTGGTGTGGTGACCGTGTATCAGAGCATGTCTGTGGTGTGATGACCCTGTATCAGAGCATGTCTGTGGTGCGGTGACCCTGTATCAGAGCATGTCTGTGGTGTGATGACCCTGTATCAGAGCATGTCTGTGGTGTGATGACCCTGTATCAGAGCATGTCTGTGGTGTGATGACCCTGTATCAGAGCATGTCTGTGGTGTGATGACCCTGTATCAGAGCATGTCTGTGGTGTGATGACCCTGTATCAGAGCATGTCTGTGGTGTGATGACCCTGTATCAGAGCATGTCTGTGGTGTGATGACCCTGTATCAGAGCATGTCTGTGGTGTGATGACCCTGTATCAGGGCACGTCTGTGGTGTGATGACCCTGTATCAGAGCATGTCTGTGGTGTGATGACCCTGTATCAGAGCATGTCTGTGGTGTGATGACCCTGTATCAGAGCATGTCTGTGGTGTGATGACCCTGTATCAGAGCATGTCTGTGGTGTGATGACCCTGTATCAGGGCACGTCTGTGGTTTGATGACCCTGTATCAGAGCATGTCTGTGGTGTGATGACCGTGTATCAGAGCACGTCTGTGGTGTGATGACCCTGTATCAGAGCATGTCTGTGGTGTGATGACCGTGTATCAGAGCACGTCTGTGGTGTGATGACCCTGTATCAGAGCATGTCTGTGGTGTGATGACCCTGTATCAGGGCACGTCTGTGGTTTGATGACCCTGTATCAGAGCATGTCTGTGGTGTGATGACCGTGTATCAGAGCACGTCTGTGGTGTGATGACCCTGTATCAGAGCATGTCTGTGGTGTGATGACCGTGTATCAGAGCACGTCTGTGGTGTGATGACCCTGTATCAGAGCATGTCTGTGGTGTGATGACCCTGTATCAGAGCATGTCTGTGGTGTGATGACCCTGTATCAGAGCATGTCTGTGGTGTGATGACCCTGTATCAAAGCATGTCTGTGGTGTGATGACCGTGTATCAGAGCATGTCTGTGGTGTGATGACCCTGTATCAGAGCATGTCTGTGGTGTGATGACCCTGTATCAGAGCATGTCTGTGGTGTGATGACCCTGTATCAGAGCACGTCTGTGGTGTGGTGACCCTGTATCAGAGCACGTCTGTGGTGTGGTGACCCTGTATCAGAGCACGTCTGTGGTGTGGTGACCCTGTATCAGAGCACGTCTGTGGTGTGATGACCCTGTATCAGAGCATGTCTGTGGTGTGATGACCCTGTATCAGAGCATGTCTGTGGTGTGGTGACCGTGTATCAGAGCATGTCTGTGGTGCGGTGACCCTGTATCAGAGCATGTCTGTGGTGTGATGACCCTGTATCAGAGCATGTCTGTGGTGTGATGACCGTGTATCAGAGCATGTCTGTGGTGTGATGACCCTGTATCAGAGCATGTCTGTGGTGTGATGACCCTGTATCAGAGCATGTCTGTGGTGTGATAACCCTGTATCAGAGCATGTCTGTGGTGTAGTGACCCTGTATCAGAGCATGTCTGTGGTGTGGTGACCCTGTATCAGGG